GTGTCTGGAAAAAGGTAATATTCAGTCGAACAAAAGTAAAAAGTTTATTGACTTCTATATTAGAAAGAATTCTGTCAGTCCTGGCTATAGTTTACGGGAGTAGTACACATTTAAATAAAACCTTTTAATGGTTTAAAACGCGATATATTAGTTAAACTTATTTGAAAATGATTTTTAACTTCGGCCTGACGACGATGGCGCTAGCGTAGCAATTTTTACTTTGACGTCAGAGACATCCTCCATCTTTAGGCTCCCCGTGACCACGGCTGCTGTAAAACATCCGAAACGTCGGGCCGAAGTTAACAATCATTTTCAAATAAGTTTAAGTAATATATCGTGTTTTAAACTGTTAAAGTGTTTGTATAAGAGAATTAAATTATAATAAGCCCTTTTTTACAAACTTTCTTAACCACTAACCTCTTATGTACTATCTTGTTAATAACTTGCCTTCCGGGTTAGGCCTCCTTAAGCTTTAAGACTTCCATGTTTCTTGTCACTTGCAAGCTTCATCCAACCTTTTAAACGGTCTTGCGTTTTTTTCCCTTCTCTTTGATACCATTCCGTGATATATCTTGTCCATTTGTCTGATTTATGTCTGGCTATATGCTCAAATATGGACTCTAACAGACCAACTATTAGATAGATACAATTAAAAGTGAACAGAAATTACATTGAAGTAAGGACTTAAAACAATACTGTGTCTTCTATGTACAACTATTTATAGTTTTTCCCCGTATTTGAACCTAGGACCTCTGCAATGTTACTGGTAGACTCCACATTTCTGTAGCTATCTTGTAACATAATACAAAATAATGTGTTATAAATTTTCAAATACCTAACTTGAAACAACAATTTCTTCCAAAATAACTAAAATGCGTTACCAATAATAAGAAAAGTAAACTGGAAAATTATAAGAGTTGTAATCTGTTACAACTCGTGTATTTCTTCAACATATTCAAAAATTAAATTTAACTACGCATTTAAAGCTGTGAAAAGTGATATTTTATTAAAATTATTCTACCTACTCGGATAATACAGACAGTGAGTTTATATGCGCGCCAATTATGTGTATGTGATATCCCGCTGCCCAGACTTCTGTGCCCTGCCCAACTGTTATTTTTTTAGTTTCCCTGGGATTCGAACCCAGGAACTCTCGCGAGTAACGCAATGCAAGGCAATACGTTAAACTATTTGGCTATAGAGGCGGCATGCGCGCCAATTAGTATTAAATAATTATATGCGTATAAAAACAAAATAAATATTTTAATTTAGTGTCTCAATAATAATCATTATCATTAAGCTGTTATTTATATAACTTAAATTAAAATATTAAAATATTTCGTAAACATTTGACTCGTAATATTTTGTTTGACATTGTTTTAACGATTGTTTTTTATAAATTTCCACAGTAAAATTAGATTAACAATATTATAACTCTATTTAATTGTTTTATTAAATGAACAAAGCTTAATTTGACTTGCGTCCAACTAGTGGCGCCATCTATAGTAAGCATAGCCGCATACATTTGCGTATAATTTATTTATAGGATAAATGTAATCATGTAAAATTAATAATTTGAAATCATATAAAATTCATAATAATGTTAATTCACAATATTGAATATTGTAAGATTTTATATAGTAATATCAATTATTTTGTTATAAATCAAGTTGTGATTGCAATAACTATCTCATCTATTGTAAAATATGGACTCTGGCGTATCTCCCACATATATATTAATTTGCAACGGCCGTTGCACATCTTAAAAAAAGTAAGGTGGTATACCTTACTTTTTTGCCAAAAATTCAGTCATCTAATTTGGCGAAAAATATAATGACTTTAAAAAAATATCGCCATGAAAACTAATTCCAGTTCCGCATTACGGTCCATTTCAGCATTAGATTCGTTTAAAGTATAAAACTAATAAAATCTTCTTGTTTCAGGTAAGTACCCGCGTCTGATATGCAACAGCACTCAAGGTAACTGAGATCTCACTAAAATGGTCTCGCTTATCCGAGGGGACGGAAAAGTTATTTGATACCCAATATACCCATATAGAACGCTATAAGAAATATAATTTTTATTTAAAAATATAGCAAGTTTAACAAACGTTATACTTTTTTTAAACTTATTTCTTTCCAAAAGCCCAAATAGGTCGACAATGTACCCTAAAGCATTGTTTCTCCGTCATAAAAAAATACAAGACAAGATAGTACGTTACTATTTTTAAAAATTAATTTTGAGTTGTTGCCAGATCATGCTTGAAGTTGTTGTTTTATTTACCGAAAATTAAATTAACGCTTTTAACGGTTGTAAACAGCAAATATATTAGGTAAGTGTTACCGGGCGTTTTGGATGTTTTGCAACAGGTTTTTAAAATATGTATTTAATAGCTACTTATTACAATTTTTTTTACCCTGAGATGACACATTTTTTCTTTGGTGTCCTTACATAACGTCATAAATTACATACTCATACATTCTAATGCACCCTGCATTAGAATGTATAAGAATGAAAAGTTATCCTCTACTCAAAGACAATTAGATCAGTTTTTGATTAAACGTAGTCGAAATACGAACAATGGATAAGATAATTAGATACCGAAGTTTTCCTTGTCAATGAAGTGACTTCGCAAATTATGTTTATTGTTTGCAACCATTGTTAGATTGCTTAAGAGAGTATGAAACAAAACTTAAGTCAATTAGGAGACATCCTGTTTAATATAATTTACACTAGCTGCATCAATCTGTTATTTAGGTAGCATCAAATTTGTTTTAGAAAACCTACTTTCGCGGATTACACATTTTAGATGATTCAAGGAGGAATCATTCCTCCTACATGTTTTTGGGTATCTTGAAACATTTTAGTAGCGTACGCATAGGAAACAACAATCCACAAGAATAAATAATTTTCTCCGTTTGTTTTTCACATTTCCTGCTGTTTCTCCGCTCTTATAAGTCGCATCGCGATGTTATAGTCAGTAGCCTTCCTCGATAAACGTTCTTACCAATAAAAAAACAATTCGAACCATTAGTTCCTGAGATTAGCGCGTTCAAACTATTCAGCTTCATATATTAGTATAGATGTATTTGGCATCACCTGTGTCTGTGTAGTTTAATTATTTATTGCCTGTATAGCAATTAACTTCAAAAATATGTGCGGAATAAACAGGCATTTTTAAATTTATCAAAATAACTAATTGTATAATATTTAAACGGAATGAGAAAAATGTAATCTCCCACCTCACGGATTAAGCCCACGAGATAGAATTAAAACTTTCAGTCATTCTTAGTAAGACTTAAATATTAACGCGAATACGATTATAAAAATTTCAAATGAATAACATTTTAAATTGAATAAGTCGTTAACACATTAGTACATAAGGCACGATCAATGGCATAGGTCGTAATTTCGTATCATCGATATTACTAACCTATAACATTACTATATATGTATTACAATAAATAAAAAAAGACACAACCAAACTCAAATCTGAATTAAATAATTAATACTAACAATTTGCGCTTCCTGTTTAAATATTCACTTATTTTATCGGAAATTGCTGTCTGAAGTTATAAAGTCATGAAAAGGTGTACTTCAGAAGTGAGTTATTATAAAATTGTAAGAGAGCGGAGGCTGCTTTGTGGGTGAAAGCCTATTATAAGTGATGAGCCGAAGTGTGACTTGTGCCGAAGCCAAAATGAACCATCCGGTTCAGTTCGTATTCGATCCAATGAAAAATTACTTAATTATTGAATTTAATTTATACTAAGATTAGTATATATTATTAGTATTGTTTTTGACGGGCTCGTTGGTGTAATGGAAGCAATGTATAATCAAAGGAGCGTGGGTTCGATCCCCGCCCATACCAAAATTTTTAATTCTCTATATATTTCTAAGACATGTTCTACTTCGTCTGGAAATCTAGATGGTAGGAACATCGAAATTTCGCCCGTGTCAAAAGACTACCCACCACAGATAAGAACCGCAGTTTTATCACTCTTCGGTTTCAGTCCGTGGATTTCCGAAAATCCAAAACTATAATAAGTCAACTACGCATTTTTGACGTATTAAATCAAACAAAAGAAAGAATCAGTTTGTTATATTTTAGGTTATTACTCCAACTTTACTTATCCTGCTACGAGGTCCTAAAAGTTAAACTTTTATGTTTTCGTAGCTAGTGGATTAAATACTGTCTATAGTTTACGCGAGTAGTACACATTTAAATAAAACACTTTAACGGTTTAAAACGCGATATATCAGTCAACTAATGTATCGCGTTTTAAACCGTTAAAGTGTTTTATTTAAGCTAGTGGATTATTTATAAATACCCTCAGTCGGTTATTTCAATAAACATTGAAATTATTTCATTAGAGCGCTTTATTCGTTCACTTAATGTATGTTGAGAGGAAACCGCATTCACCGCACTGAACTCGTTGTGGTTTTCGCTCAATTTTCATTTGTGTCGCTACTCGCAAAATAATTATTGGTGATATTTTATTTGCTTAAACATTCAAATGTGTAACAATATTTCCTGCAATATATAACTACTATTAAAGGATTGTTTGTGTAATTTTTTCCACACCTATGTATTTGTTTTATCTGTATTTGAAAGTTGTCTCCAACACTCTCGACCAAAAACGTCATCGAATACACAGGAGCAAATATATGTCTCCAAGTCATTGTTGTAGTGATAGTAACGTGTGCTAAAACTCATATGGCCATGGGCTCGATCCCCATCGGGTCCAAAATGACTAGGATTATTGCACCTCTCATAAGGGAATGCCATGCTTATGTGTCCTCTACCATCAAAAATAATGTACAATATTCAAAACATATACTAATTAATATAAAAGGAAAACTTTTTATTTAGAGATTTAAATACTTTAAAATGTATATACTGTATCCGCATTATTTATTAATTATAAAATACATACTACTGTATTATTACGAAACGTTCATTCGGATTGAGAATAAACAAAAGAAAAACGTATGATTCTTTAATCCAATTCGATACTCCAGCCTTCATCGTGTCGAAGTGCCATATTCCTCAGACGATTTGCAGCACTTGTGGTGGGTGTCCTAGGTGCAGTAGCCCCTGTCTCTCTTGACGTGAACCGGTTCAGCTCTAACTTGCTGAACTGCAGGTCCTCGAATAGAGGTATTGGATCTATAGTTGTTGTCCGTTTTCTGCCGCGGAAGTAATCGGGCATCTAAAAAGTTTGGTCAGAATATTACTTACCAAAAAATACCATAGAAGTAAAAATAGATACGAAATATAAATTATAAACTGTATCGTCACGTAACGCATTACACCCCTAATATCAATGACATAGTTAAATTAAAATTGGTAAATTATCATTTTCGTTGGGTCGGCAGTTTCCTAATCTCATTTGTTTTTTAAATTTGTAATGACTGTAATTAATATGTTAATTAAAATGCATTTAGTAGTTTTTGCGTGAAAGAGTAACAAACATCCATCCACACATACAAACTTTCACGTTTATAATATTAGTAGGATAATCATTTGTCCTTATGAAACTCATATTTGAATTCCTTTTGTGTCTGTACTGTAAGATCTAATTCTATAAGGTGACAGGTGTGCTTTATCTTCAATCCTGTATTCATTACAGAAACCTCGAAATTGATCGAATCTACGATCGATTGGGCTCAATTCGTCAATAATGATTTGCAGCTTTATAAACTTATTGATATTTATGAAAATTGGAAGTATTTAGATGGAGTTATTAAATTTGTGAATGGATTACAATGGGAGAGATTTAAGAGAATAATTTTACTCGGCTGAACAAGTAGATACTAAATAAGTCTTACAGGATTATTTTTATGCATTTAAACATACTCCATTATAAATCAAAATCTATTTAGATTGAATGAAAGCTATTTCCGTGCTGTAACCAAATAAGCTAGCGTGTCCTATACGTCATCGTCGAATTTCAACCTATTGATACCAACATGCACCTCTCGCGCAATGTAATTTAATTTATATAATAGCAGCTTCAGGAGATCATTGGAGATGAAATTACAAAGTTATAAAGTTTGAAAACTTGAATATTATTCACATGTATACTTGATGGCAGTATATAGATTAAACATCGAAAATAAATTTAAAAAAATACTTACAGTCTCATTAACTGTTTCAATCCAATCTGTATAAGCGCCTACAAGTGTGAAGACGGTTGGTACGTTAGGATAACCGCAAACAGTCGGACCAAAAGAGATGATACCCACAAGTTTACCAGCCAGGACGGCAGGGCCTCCCGCGTCATGCTGTCATTTAATCATGAAAACAAACAAAAAGCAAGATTATTTGGAAAACAAGAAATTTAACAAACATAATAAAAAAAACAAATAAAATATTTATTTAATAATGACATATAAAATAATTTAAAAAAATAAAAAAGGCAAAGGAGCCCACTCATCTAAGTTGGGACTAATGTCCCAACACCGTTATTATGTAGCCCCTTCAGAGGCCGAGCTAAACAAGCGAGATAATTTTACACTGTGTCAATTATGTACGTTGACACAAACACTTTACATTGACAACAACCAAATTACATTAATTTATAGGTACACATTATAATATATACACTTACAGTACAAATCTGATAACCATAACTAATACAATCAAACACGTGTATACTGTGCCTTCACAGGACACAAGACGGAGTGTTACACGCCATTTTGAAGGATGTGATGATTGATATAATGTAATTATCGTTGGTATATGGTTCTATCTTGGTTTAAAATTGATAAAAGTCTCTCATTAAAATAATCCTCTATACAGGGATTAGCTGGCAAACAGAAAGTTACTCCGCTAGTATAAGTACTTGGTGCTTCGCAACTCGCCCAGCACTTTTTAATTTCGTTAAAACGACACAACTGCAAAACTTTCAGTTCTAACTTGGGAACTTTTCTAATTCATTCCTAGCTGTGATTTTCTTTCGCAACTTCATCATATTGCACGGGAGATTGACCGCATTGTGGGTGGAGGATGCTTTTTAGGGTTCCGTATCAACGCTCATACCCTTTTTATTTTATCGATAGTGTGAATGTATTTGCAGTTCTTTCATTAAGAACAAATGTGTTATCCTATTTTTATAAGCGCGGAACCTTGCTTTCACAATTTCAACTCACACTAAGTCGAATTTCTGAAAAATGGTATTTTTTTTATCAAAGTAAGATCACTTACGTCACAAGCCCCTTCCCCAGTTGTCATGGTCCCGGCACAAAACATGGACGAGGCAATAAATTTACTGAAAATAGTTTTCTTTAATATAGAAGGAGAGACAAGCATGAGCTATAACACATCTTACACACTGTCTACCTATTTTGGCTTTACATTTTTGGAAATCTTCAGACTGAAACTGAAACGTGATTAAACTTCACGTCTTTTTTATCTGTAGACGGTGATTCGTGACCCGGACGGAATTTTTGATATTTCATATGGAAATTTCCAGATGAAGCCCAATATGTTTCAGAAAATTATAATTTTTTTACAAACATGTTAGCCCCGATAGAGATCGCACTGTTGATTATTTACCATACAATGCTGCCATAAAGACGACCCCGTCAAAATTGCATTGTTAATTATAACATACAATGAAAAAGTTATATTCGTTTTCTTTTCCATGTATAGATTTACTAAAAAAGACTAGACTATAACTAATAACTTAATAATAGATTGTGAACTATATGCTACCGCTTCTGCTTCTTCTATATGCTGCGTTGCGTTAAACTCGAGGGGTCGTGGGTTCGGCCCCCAGGAATAATAGAGTAGGTTAGGCAGGTCATAATACACTTGTCTGTAATTAAAACCCATCGGTGAAACACACAAAGCAATGTCGAAAATGCTAAGTTAATCCTTACTCGCCATAAATCTCTTTGCAAAATACATTTGGGTATATTGGTAGAAATTTCTTGTTCAAAAATACTGGTTCATATGCTAAGCGCTGGGACATCTGAAAAACGACAAATTAAAACAATGAAATAAAACCCTTTTTACAGGTTTAATTCGTGAAATATACATTTTTGCTATGAAAAAAAAAGCGTCGGAAAGGGGTGTCAACAGAGTATTCTATATTCATAATAAATGAACTAATATTTTGGCTTTTCAAGCCGTTAATAGTGTTTTTATTTCATGAGTACTAATACCGAAAATTTTCAGACAGTCTCTGTAGCCAAATAGTTAAAAGTATGAAAATAGTTAAAAAAATTGTTTATGCAGGGCACAGAAGTCCGATTAACTAATTTTACTTGTTTGCCGCATGCCCCACGAGGGGGAAATGGGATTTCACACAATCCCGAAAATTAATCAACATATCTCATAATTTTTTGCACTTATGTCGTTATATCGTTTATTGGGTTTAGTTCGCATATTAAATATATTGCTATATAATATTGTCCTATATATTTAGCAATATCTAATTGTATTTATATATTTTTACCTTAGTAACCCCCCATCCCAATACTAGGACCTCCGATGTAGGAGCTAGCCCGTGAGCGCTTTGCGAGATGTCAATGACCTTGGGCACGCGATGATAACCGAAAAACAAATGACGACGCAATCTAACGATGGCGATGTTGTGCCGTAGAGTCCGGGGGTTGTAGCCCGGGTGAAAGTATACCTTTGAAAATTCGAGATTAATTATATCTTTCTACGATTATAAATTCCGCTAAATTAAAAACATTACAGTATAAATTATAGCGTAAACTATAGACAGTATGTCTATAGTTTACGCGAGGAGTACACATTTAAATAAAACACTTTAACGTTTTAAAACGCATATCTTTTAGTTAAAGCGATCAGTGAAACTCACAGAGAAATATATCTCCCCACATTCATTTCAATTCAATCCTGTATACTAATCGTAAGTAGATTTTATTGATATGAAAATATACCTACATGCATTTTTCGCAAATTTAATTGTATGAATGCTTAATACGTACCTCTAATGCATTTATAGCCTCCCCACCAATTCGGCTGTGGTTACTCCCAACTCTAACGTACAAAGCCTTGGGATTTTCACGGAAAAATCTGTTGTTGTGCATACTGGAAACAAACAATTATATAATAAGTGTTTATCTTAAAAATATATATACATACAAGCTTAATATTTCAAAAGTTATGATATTTATATTATCAGTTAAAAACCACTGTAAAAACTATCTAAAAATACACAATATCTATGATCACCTATATCTGTACTACTAAGAAAATATACTTTTAGTAATAACATCATGCGATGTGAAAATTTGTATATAGCAAAAGTCATTACTATTATAGAATTGATAAAAGTACTTAAAACGTGTCGAAGTTGAACTATTTAATTCTTTGTTTCACTTTTGATAAAGCAACAAGTGGTTTGGTCGCAAGCCAAATGACTCAAATTACAGTTCAAATATTACTGCATTTTAATTATATATCGTTTAAAATTTACTATAGATTGAACATATTTCACACTGGCGCGAATCGAACCGACAGCCAAGATTGTATTCGAATACTGTAGCTATTTGATAGCTACATTCGTAACTGACTGGATCAGAGTCAGTTGTCATCCCGAGACGTACTCTCCAAAGTCCAAATTTTAAAGAGTCAATATTAATATGTCAGTATCGTAATATTTAAAGAAACTCTCACAGTTGTAAACAAGAAGCTGAAGTGATGACTAGATCATGCCAGTATATCACTCCACCACACCAAAACCTCCCCATGACATGAATAGACACCATAAATGGGTAATGCTTAATTGTGGTTCTCTCTCCCTTGAAAATTCTCCTCCCGTCGTGTTTGTGATATTCTTTCAAATCTTCCAGTTCACCTTGTGGATCTACCAAAGAGACATAAAGCGAAGATAAACCTTAAAACCTTGAGGTGAACCAAGTTATATCTACTGTCTATAGTTTACGCGAGTAGTACCCATTTAAATAAAGCACTTTAAAGGTTTAAAACGCGATATATTAGTTAAACTTATTTGGAAATGAAAATTATGTCTCCCCGTGACCACGGCTGCTGCAAAGCATCTGAAACGTCGGGCCGAAGTTAAAAATCATTTCCAAATAAGTTTAACTAATATATGGCGTTTTAAACCGTTAAAGTGTTTTATTCCACTTATATCTATTTTCTTTATTTAGTTAACATTATAGTGATAAGCGTTTGTTTATTCGTAACAATTATTCAGTTCATATAAAACACTGATTGTATGACTTTTTAATTTGGTGGGAAACTTTAACCTGTTTTATTCTATAGTTATCGTAATTTCCGCCTTTTAAGTAGGCCCCTAATATATTTTAGACGGACAATAAATATAACGTATTAAAGAAAATGTATTCTTATACAAAATATGACGAAAAATTTCTTACTTAATTTGATTTTGAATATGCCAGAAAACTATCAAATAAAATGGGTAGCTTTAAGTATTATTATTATTATTTATATACACGTATAGTTCCGCTTATCTAACGAATTATTTTGATCACACCATCACTTATAACACAACGCTTACATATTCATAAATACACAATTTGAGCATAACACAAGGTAGCTTCTGTGAATCCTTTAATTATCTCGTGGCTCCATTATCAGATCTATTCCAAAACTTTTATTTAATTATAGTGTTTTAGAGTCCTGAGTAAAACTACGTCCCTAAGATTTTAAAAAAGTTCCCATGGTTTCTGGCCTGTGATAATGATCACAGGTATCGAAAAAAAAAACAATTTAAAAATAGAAAATAAATTGAAAAAATGTTCGACTCGGGCAGGACTTGAACCGGCATCGTCAGCGTTTCGAGCTGTTGCTCTACCAATTGAGCTACCGAGTCCTACACCTCATCGTCGAATTTTTTCATGCCGGTTCAAGTCCTGCCCGAGTCGAAAATTGTTTCAATTTATTTTCTATTTTTAAATTATAAAGTGCCTTCATGTGCAATAACATGTAAAAAATAATAAAGTTTTCAAACATCTACATTGGTTCATAAACGACAAAGTTATGCAGAAAATAAAGCATATATACGAAACTAATTAGGAAGCACTTTTTCCAGTTAAAAATAATCTAAAATTAATCGTCTAATATAAATTGGTGTGAAATTTTAAAATACATGAATAAAGTTCATTAAAATCGTTGCCACAACGTGCATCGTGGATGGTTAATTAGTTATGTTTTGTAGATACTGCGCGAGTCGTTATGATTCTACGGGCATTTGAAGATTTAATTAATTTGAATACGAATACACTGTAAAAAGTAATGTATTTTGTGTAGCATCTGAAAACCCAATTAGCGTTCTAGAGCGTCGCGTTGTGAACTAATTCTAAAGATACTATGTAAAGGTATATTTCAGATTCAGTACATTTGGTACTTAAGAATATTTGTGAAGATAAATTTGATTTATTAGTTGAATACATTTTAGTTCGTAGTAACAATACGAAAGGTAGATTAGAAAACGGTGTTTTTAGATCACAGCTGCATTTTGAGAAAGTTCCAAATGCAGCTGTGTGTCTTTACTCACCCCAATATTTGTTATCACTAACATTGAACTTATGATCATCTCTCGGTGTCTCCGCAATCATTTTATCCACAATATTGTCAATTACGTCGTTATCTATTACTCGCTTTTGCCCATGATCATTCTCCATCATCCTTCTAGCCGCTTTCACAAGTTGACTATTTTCCGCCTTTTCTGACAAAATCTTCATAATATCATCTCTATTCATTTTCTCTTTTAATTTCAAATATAAATGTTTTGGTTCACGGTCTGTTAAAAAGTTAAAATTATCTGACTCATTGAGTGCTTTAAAGAAGTTAGTTTCATTTAAATTTGTAGTCGCCGCTTCGTTAAGGAGAAGATCAGCGTGTCTGTCTTTATCAACTACATATTTATTAATGTCTTTCAACTTGTCCTTTAGTTCCTTAATTCTTTCGTTTTCTTCATTATTAAGTATGGATATAAGTGTTTTGGCTATATCGGTGACGGATAAATCACTACTATCACTTCTAACAATACGAAACAATGCAAAGTACAATAAAAACATATTCGTTCGCGCTTGGTGTATAAATAATGCAGCTTCAATAAATTTTATAGCTTTAAATTTATGATGCTTTTATTATTTATAGCAACGAGAACTCCAAGAAATTTTATATTCGACGTTTTTCGATTGAATAGCAGCCATTTTACGATTGAGTTTCACTGAATTTAAATCTTATTTTAAGCGTACTCTGCCATTATGTCCATAGCTCTGTAAAAACCCGACACTAAAAATGTGATCTTATATTTTTATACACAGAAAGCATGGGTAGTTTGAGAGTTGGTAGATTTTATTTAATGACGTTGATTACCTTTGTTAATGATGGTTTAAAAATTTAATTTAAAACATCGTCCCTAACAAAGGTATGATTTTCTAAATCGAAATCAGATCATTGTGCATAAAAGGATGCTATTTTTAGAGAGTTGATTATCCTTTAATCACTTTTATAGTGTTCGTCCTCTGATGGAATTGAGGTCGAATATATTACGCAACGCACCTTAAGCTATGGTCTCCTAGAAACGACGAGAAATGTTAGACGTGTGAAGACTGTAGGCATAACATCTCTCGTTACTGAAGTCATTATTGTGTATACATCGAGTATGAAGCAAACATTGTTTAAGTGTTGTTCTAATAAAAACATCGAATTTTGGATAATAGTTAATGACTAAACGGATTTATTAGTAACCGTCTTGTTTCGATATAACACGTCACGTTACATACGACAGCGATTAAAGGAGACCATAGCTTAAGGTCGAAGCTTACGCTACACAGCTAGCCGATAGGTTATTCATCGATCTAGTGAACGAATGACAAGGCACGTTGTGGATTATCTCAGAGATATCTGCTTACACCAATTATACATCCTGAACACGCGTGTCGTGTTCGAAAGAAACTAGGACACCGAAGGATAGGATACACTCTCTTGTAACGCGATATTTCACGTTAGAAGGGAAAGTTCGCTTCGGTTTTGGTAATATTTTTCTAACATGTTTGTATTATTTTTCGACCCTATTCGTAATAGCTCAATAGTGTTTTAAGTCTCGGGAAAAAAGCGTAGATAAGACTGATAAATGATACAAGCTTGGAAATTAAATAGATTAGTAAAACAGACAGAAATATATCCCAATTCTCTACAAGGAAACATAATTTCACTTACAATATTTTGTTTCTTTTCATTAATATATTTAATATGCTCCTTAGTTTAATTGACATTCTAAATCATTAAGACTAAATATAAATAGCGAACTATTTTAAGTGTAAGTTAGTACTACACTTTAACGGTTTAAAACGTGTATAAACTTATTTGAAATTATTTTAACCACGGCCCGACGTTTTAGATGCTTCGCAGCAGCCGTGGTCACTCGGAGACTGCAGCTGCAAATAAGTTCAACTGTACTCAATATATATCGTTTAATTTAAAAATCCAACAACAGCACGGAACAGGGCAACAGCACGGAACGCTGACGATGCCCGTTCAAGTCCTGCTCGAGTCGAATTTTATTTTTCAATTTATTTTCGATTTTTAAATTATATAGTGCCTTCATGTGCAAAAATTAATAACATGTAAAAAAATCAAAATAATATATATATCGCGTTTTAAACCGTTAAAGTGTTTTATTTAAATGTGTACTTCAGTAAACTACAGGCAGTATTAGAATTTAATGTATATAATTAAAAATGTATAAGTATGTCTTATATTTAAGGAAGTAGGCTATATGCTACTGCGATCACAAATGTGTTTTTCATTCGAGCCCTTCAGTGATTGATGGCAGGATGGATGCTCTCTGATAGCAATTACAAATACATCATTTAGACACCATAACGTCAGTTTGGCATTAAAGTTAATGTAGAAGAAAATTAGAGAATTTACTGACGAGAATTGATGTCTCGCTTCTGAAACATAAGTTTAAGAGTCAAGGGTAAATCATATTTTAGGAGATTCCCTTTGAGTATAGTGATTATTATTTAATCGGATTATCCCGTAGCACTACGCACTGCCGTTAATGAGTAGTTCACCAATATCAAAACACATAATGTTTAAATAAAACATTTTAACGGTTTAAAACGCGATATATTAGTTAAACTTATTTGAAAATGATTTCCCCATCTCCCCGTGACCACGGCTGCTGCAAAGCATCCGAAACGTCGGGCCGAAGTTAAAAATCATTTTCAAATAAGATTAACTAATATATCGCGTTTTAAACCGTTAAAGTGTTTTATTTGAATGTGTACTACTCGCGTAAACTATAGACAGTACAAAATGTTTAACCAGAAATTTTGTCAGAAATAAAAAATGGTGCTTCATATTATTCATATGGTTGTAGAATTAAAAAATAAAATCCCATTAAAATAGTAAATAAAAGATTTTAAGTACATTGGTTTAGAAAAAAACAAGTAACGACATACATTTCGTGTTTTAAATATTTAAAATTTAATTTCGGTATACCAATGCCGCAAATTTAAGACGGTACCACATAGACATTTCTGTATCCGCTGTCCTGCTCGACCGAAGAATTTAACAGGACAACAAAACTAACGCGAACAAGTACTGTCATTTGTTACAGGCAGTCACAAGAGATAAATTATTTATCACTGCCAGCTTCAAGTAACGATGTTTGCAAAGATTATTTCAGTGTTTCCTACATAAAAGGGAGTTTATACAATCATAACTACAATGTATAAAGTTCGAATGTAAAAATGTATCAGAAAAAGTTCTTATCGTATCATCGACAAATTGCTTAACACCGCACTTAGAAAATTACGCGCTGGGATGAAAAATACATACATATGTATATAATATGAACATTAAATTGTTATATTCCTGCTCTTAGATGTTTTGTCGCGGGTGCCACAATTGGTATATCGTTTCTTCTGCATGAATCTGACATATTTTTGAGTCTGTTTCACTATTCACTTTTACTGACATCACATTCATCTACTATGAAGTGATTTCTCTGGCCTATCTTAACTAAACTACTTGTTAGTTCCACGAGATTCCCAAAATCTTTTGTGGATCTTATGCGTTTAATTATTAATAAATTAAATATCTATATATACTAATATATAAAGCTGAAGGTTCTGTTTGTTTGACACCTTCATCTCAGGAACTACTAGTTAGAATTGACAAATTGTTTTTGTGTTAGTAAAAGAATTTATCGAGGCTAAAAAATATCGAACTGCGACTAATAGGAGCGAAGCGAAAAATTTCTGCGAAAATACATGTCTATCTTTTAAGATTAGCTTGCCAGAACGATGGGACGCGGGAGGCGTCTTGGATCACAGCTGGAATTTATAGAGCTGAACAGGAGGTTTGCAAAAACCAATTTGATGTCCAATATAACTATTCTACGCGGGCGAAGTCACCAACGCGGCTAGTTGCTTAATATTTCGACAAGTGTTTACATTGAGATGAATTCCATCCATTTAGCGAAACCCCAAGGGTGCTCGAGGTTTACGCTCGCGCACACAATTACTTAGCGGGCTATTAGTTTAATCTTCTAAACCTTTTATCTGAGGCACAAAGAAAATTACTCAATTTTGTTCCGCCGAAAAATCTATATAAACGATTTGTTCGAGAGTTCAAAGAGGTTGGCCGATATTGTTTTATAAAACTGAAAACGACTGCCGATAACGGAGATCAATGGAGCGTGTGGATGACGTGCCATAAGTTTTTCGGCTCAACGAGCTCTGGCGTAAAAACTGAAAACTTAATTAACGTAACACAGTTATTTAGCGGTTGAATCTCTTGATGTTCCATGTCTGGCACATAGTACTGATAACCAGGGCTGATTCAACAGCTTACAGTACACGGAGACAGGGGTGGTGATGATACCTTCTTCTACTTTTAAACTCCAAGCTGGTACTGGTACAAGATGTAAATTATCTTAGTGAAAACCAAATATACTTATGGTAAAAGCGGCATTTAGGCTTACGACTACTATTTGGTTTTTTATTCTTTGCCTCATCAATAGTACTTTTTTCTTTAAAGTAATCTCACCATACACTTTTACCATACCTTGATTGTCTTTAAATATAATTTAACTGGTTCTAAATATGTACTTTAACTATATTATATTTTTTTAACGGTATTTCAAAGTAGATTTATTACAGCGCCATCTATTACAACATTTGTAGGATAAAGGTTGGTATTTGAGTAAGTGCCATCTAGTGGAAGCACTTGGCATTTTATAGTTATCAAAAATTCTGTCTCCAAATAATTTTTGATGATATTTATAGTTTAAGAAACAAACAGCAGATGTCAGTAGTGGACAATAAAAATGTAATGTAATATTTTTGATAAAATTCATAAGCAAGAACAGTAACTATAGATATAATATTTATTTCGCAGAGTGAGCATGAGTATCTATCTAGATTTTGTTAAAAGAAATGATTTAACCAATATCTTTATAATATAATTGTGAATTTATTTCGTGGCATCATTAGAAAAATCATAAAGTTTTTAATAACTATCTATATACTGTCTATAGTTTACGCGAGTAGTACACATTTAAATAAAACACTTTAACGGTTTAAAACGCGATATATTAGTTAAACTTATTTGAAAATGATGCATGCAATGAGCAGCCGTGGTCACGGGGAGACCACGTGACCACGGCTGCTGCAAAGCATCCGAAACGTCGGGCCGAAGTTAAAAATCATTTTCAAATAAGTTTAACTAATATATCGCGTTTTAAACCGTTAAAGTGTTTTATTTAAACTATCTATATGTATATATATTCAGTCTCGCTAAAACTGTTTCGCTATTCCTTCGTATTAAGTTATTTTCATTTACAAGGAATTTGTTAGCGGGGTATCCGTTGCATAAAATACTGCCAAAAGAAGTCCAGGGTTCGAAACCGAGGCACTAATCCACTTTAAAACTAGTAAAAAGACAAAAATATGCCATCCCAACGTAATGGGATTCCAAGTTTATACTATTACGTAGAGAATATAGTTGTTTTAATATACTGCGAATGGTTCGCTAAGTCTCCCTTCCCGCTCTCCGT